AAAGGAGATGAGAGCTGGAATACAAATCACAACAAAAGACAGAAGTCTCTGAAAATGTTGAAAGCAAGCATAAACTTTCCCAAAATTGAGCTTTAAACATGGGGTGCTAAAAGATTGTGAAAAAGTAGAGAGCTTTTGAACACAGGTTAAACCACAAGCTAGGGTAGCAACTTGTTCAGCACAATGTTATTCACACGGTCAGGAAAATTTCACAGCGGTATGGTGAAAATTTATTACCATTTGTTTAGCTAAAAAAGTAGAAATTATCAAAATATACTAATACAGATCTTTATTATTTATTTACAAAATTCTTTTAAAGTGCACAGTGCTTTCATTATAAAGTATGGACTGATTAATTCATCCTACTGCTTTTACTTCATTCTCGTCTATTTTGATTGATGGGGACACACATCTAACCAGAGAATGGAGAAAAGAGAACCAAAGTCGGAATACAGGAACCTGAAGCCACAGGAAGCCCTCTCTGCCAGTCAGAAATAAGAAAAAAGAAGGGTGTAAGGAGCGGGAGTGCCAACAGCTGTGGCACGTTTATTTATCCACTTGGGAGGTGGAGTCTCATGTGAACCTCTGCCTCATAGTTTCTCCATGTGCAATGTCTCAGGCACCCAGTGTTCTTGAGAGCAGAGCTGCTTAGTGAAGTGACTTGCCTCAGGCGCTCTGTGTTCTTCAGGCTGGCCTTGGCTCTGCTGCAAGTGATCACTCCGTCTTTAGTCACTACCCACATCATAGGAATTTGGGTGAGGATGTTTGGATTTTAGTGTTTGATTGCAATAGCATTCTATCTTACTCAGGACCCTTATGTATCCATTTGCAGAATGTAAGTGCTCTTTAGGTTTTAAAATATTTTCATTAGAATATGTTTGCAATATATTATGATTACATTCATCACGGGGGTTAGTCTGTAGAGATATCCTGACCAGGTCTTTTCTCATATAAGAGAAACCATATGATATTTAACTGCTGTTTATATTGAACTATTATTGAGATTTGATATTGTTCCAAGAAATAATATTTAAAGTTTAGTCACATGCAATATATAGTTATGTATCACAAAGTGATAGGCAAAATAATGATTTGTAAACAAAAACTGTTGTATTCAATGTATTCGGGATGTTCATTTTCTCATATTTACAAAAAGTTCACAAAAATAATTTTTGAAAAGAAAAATGTGTTTGTATGATAATACATATGTAATAGTTACATGCTGCAGACATGCACTAATAATTTTATTGAAACTTTGTCTCTTCCTCTTCCATACTTTGTTTACATCTCTATTATCGTAGGCTCCATCTTTTGTTTTGACTTAAGAATTTGTACTATTTATGCCTTATGTCCAATATTAAAGTATGTTTACACTCTCAAAGCAGGAGATGAGGCTCTTTAAAAATGGTACAGGCTTGTTCTGAGTTTCATAAGCTGTTGTTCATGGCTGATTAAAAGATCTATTATTCTCATGTAAAGTGATCATCAACATTTAGAAACAGCTATCCTGTTCTATTCTAATGTTCTTATAACTGCTGTCTCTCCCATTTATCTTAAATGTGTGCAGCATTACATTGTCAAAATACTCATCATTTAATATAGCACATTCCTTTCCTCTATGAATGAAGCCCTAGCAATTACATTGCAAAATAGCTGTCAATTCATGGCTTGTATTTAGTGTTGAGATTCTCCTTTCCATTTGGAAATCAGCTGCTCATTTCTAGGATGACTCCTAAGATGCACTGTTTTAGGAAGTAAAGTTTCTTGGAAGTAAATGCTCAGGTACAATTTCAAGTGAATTATTATATGAAACAAAAGCTCTCAGCACAATGGAAGATGAATAAATAAAGTTCAGGAAAGAAGCAATAAATGGTCTTATCATCTGTCAATTAGCTTTAATCCGATCTCATGTGAAAGCTGTAAATCACAAAAGTCAATGCTACATTCCACCAAATTAACTTTAATCATATAATAGACCAAAGTCTGTGCACAAAATGAGATTAGCCTGTAGCTCCTGAAGGTGAAACTGCTGAAGATTTGGTTAATGGCAATTCTTTGGAGAAGAATCTCTGAGAGCCCTGTGTACTAACTGGCTCAAGGCACCTTGGATAAGACATTCAACATCACATGAATTTCATCTCATATGAAGTTACAAGATCAATTACATAATTACAAGATCATTTTGTACATGATATTACTATTTAAATCACTTATGGCCATGAAATAATTAGCAACTGTATATTCATATATTGTGTATAATTATGGTTCAGTTACATTTCAATAAACAAAAACAAGCTATAGAATGAAAAGTAGAGCAGGAGTGACAGAATGATGCCACAAACCTGTAACTCCAGCAGGCTGGGGGATGAAGCAAGATTTGGGGGACATTCTTGATCTAATTCACAGAACCATCTCACAGTGATGTAGGAACATGAGTCAAGGAGTAGGGTGACTCTAAAACCCACTGTTTAGCAAATCAAATACAGGAAATAGTGCCAATTTGGAGTTTGTACTTTACAATAACATTTGTAAAATGGATATGTGACTAATTAATTTGTGTAGAAGTTTTAGGGCAGAAAAGATCTGTGGTGAAATCAACAAAATTATCAGCCTCAAGAAAATTTAAAGTGGGGCTCTTTCCCTCCAGTGAAATACACCTGGGTCATGGGTCTAAGTGTCAGCAGGAAATGGAAGTGGACAAAGTGCTTTTATTTGAGAGGAGGAGAGGTTAAATCAAGTCCTTTGACTATGCTTCTGGGGAGGAGGACTAGGGTCAGGGGTGCCCCTCCCTGAGGACTCCCATTGGTAGGCCTTTTAGATTTCTGGGTCTGTGGCTGGATCTGTTGCTGGGTCTATCAGAGAAGAACAAGGCACTGTGGCTAGATCTTGGGTGTAACAGGAGGCAAAACCACAGGTGCGGTTTATGTGGAAGGAAAATTTTGTTTCTTAGGGAAGAGGATAGTGGCTTTATACTTCACAGCAAATGGCTACATTCACACCACATACTACACTGAGGATCAAACATGAGTTCTCATTCAGCAAAAAAGGAATAGCTAAAAACCTGTGCTTCTGTAAGAAGTCAGTAAATAAACAAATAATGCAGTCCATGGTTAGCACACAGAGAACACACACTACATCATGATTGAACATACTGTAAAAAGATGAACCGGTTCATTGGGCAAGTTCTCCCTAAAGAGCAGACTTTGACAAGAGCATGCTAGCTGCACAGAGCCGGGGGAGATCATTCTAGGCAGAGTGAGTAGAAAGGATCTTGGCACATTTTAAAAACCTGAAAATATTCTAAAGATTAGTGGACCTGAAAGATGACAAGGTGGTTAAAGGTGTAAGAGATGGAAGAAATGCGTGGAGGCTTTATTTACTAGGCTGTGAAATTTGTTTTTGAATCAAAGTATGGCTTTTGAAAGCGGCTGGGCAGGGGACAGAAATGATATCTAATTTGCTTTTTAAAAGTCAGTGTGGCTACTGTGTTGATGACGGGTTGTACAGAGACCCTAGTGACATCCGGAAGGTTAATGGAGTGTGGACACAGGATATTTGATACAGCTTTCTTTCTACTTGTGCTCAAATTCTAGGAGGTCTAATCTAAAACTACTACAGCCATTTCATTTGACTAGAACTAAGTTCAGTGGCCACATGTCACTTTAAAAGCCAGAAAACACAGTCTTTTATTTGGGGAATTTACACTAGGGGAAAGTAAAAATGAGTATGCAATAATCAGGAAAGGTGGAATGAAAGGGATATAGATTAAAAACAGTTCAGAATTTGTCACAGATGATAGTTTAGATTGGTAAATAGAGTTTTCAGGAAGGACTGATGAAGTTCAAGAATATAACATCTGGAAAGCAGAATGCAGCGCAACTTCATAAACAGGTAACAATGCATTCTGCATTCATTTAAATAAAGTAGTACTTTCACTCTTTAACCTGCAACACCTAATTTCAATGTAAATATAAATTAGAATTTTCTAGAATATGTACAATTTCCTTGTTGAGTGGGGCGTGCTCCTGTTGTAATTTTACCAGCTAAATGTGACATATTAATCTCATGGTGTCTCAATATGTTTATTATTAAACATTCTTGCAAGCTTTTCTTTTTATGGCCGCATATATTTTCCAAACTCTGAATTTAAAAGATAATATAAATAGTATCATTTGCCTTGAATTTTAAAATTTTTCTGTTTTGTACAAATTCAATTTATAAGTGATAATCAGATGAACTACAAAATACAGACTTATAAAACCTCTAAGAAGGTTTTGAGTCCAGCTGATATTCTTAAATTTTTTATTTAGCAGCACAAAGAGGCATCTGAATTTATGCTGCAGGTAAACATAATGAGAGCATATAAGACCATTATTTTTTCTAGCAAATGTTAAAATTACAAGATACCTACCACATAATTATGATGCCACGGAGCAGAGGTGATTATAAATTCAAAAGTGCTGTATATGTCACTTAACGCAGTACTTTTGCTTTCTAGTATAAAAGAAAAATAATAAAATGAAATCATGTTGGGACTGGGGATTGACAAGTGCGAGGTTTTTAGTTTGATACTCTGCCTGGTACACATATACACACACATACACAAGAAGAAATCGTGCTGAAATTTTTAAATTAAACTCCACACTTCCACAATCAATAATACTAGTTTAATTAGCATTCATGTTGTTGATTAAAAGATAAACAATGAGCTGGGATTTAGCTCAGCAGCACAAGCACCTGCCTGGCAAGTGCAAGGTTGTGAGTTCAATCCCTGGTACAAAAACAAACAAACAAAAAGATAAACAATGAAAAGTCAGTTCTTTCTATGAGATAAGGAAAATTACTGAATTTTAATCTTAACATAATGCCAGAACCACTAACAAGTACTATCCTATTGGGACTAATATTTAACTGTTAGTTTTTCAAAGATTTTACTGAGTGATATATATACAATATTATATTAAATTATATATATATATATATATATATATATGTATTTATTCTTTTAAAATTGTGTCTGTTCATCTGCATTACCAACTTGAAAAGATGAAGAGACTTTGAAAGAAGTGATTGGATTGTGAGGAGACTAACCTCATCAATGGGTAAGTTTATCCATGAGTTTATAGCTGAGTGGGCTTTAGGGTGTGGGTCCAGCTGGAGGAAGCAGGCCCCAGAGACAGGACCTCGGGGACTGCATCTGTCCATCAACTCTCTTTGGCTTTGCCCTGTTCTCCCACCCTTCTGGGGTATTTTGAGCTGTCTTCCTGTGAATGCTCTACTGCCATGTTATTTGAGCCTTAAAATTAAACAATCATGATTTGAAAACTCTGAAAATATGAACCAAAATAAGCTTTTCTTTTAAATTATGAGGTTTGGAAGTTTTGTCCAGCAACAGAAAAGTGAACAGTTCAGAAAATTTCCAATAGAGAAGTGGGGTGATTACTGTAGCTACACATGACCATGGGGCTCAGAAGCCTTTGTAACTATTTCTCAGGAGGAATGTGTGATTTGGTGATGTGGGCTTCAGACTCCTAGAAAGCTATAAACAGAGACTGATAGATGATTATCACAGTAGCTCTGAAGCTCTGAATGTTGAAAGGATTTAGAAAAAAATTGTACTCAAGAAGCTCTAGACTTGTGATGGAAAGAGAGAATTCTTTTGACAATTGGACAAGAGACCAAAATGCTATATTCTTACAAATCATTTTTCTAGTTTATCCACATGCTAAAACTCTGTAAGGCTGAGTTCAAGGTGATGCATTAATTGGTCTGGTGGAGCAAAAATACTATAGGACCAGCATCCCTGCCTGCTAGGAGATCCTGAGAGGCTGCTGAGTCCCTGGGAGTGGAGTGAAGCTGCAGTGGATACCACAGAAACTTGGAGATGCCAGGAAAATGGAACATGGTCCAAAAAGTTATAAGCAAGGAGCAGAACCAGCAGAAGAATGAGGTCATGGTGTATTTGAAGATCAAATGTATTTGAAAGATGTAAGGTTATTGAGAAATTAATCATAGTTTAAAGATGTGTAATTAAGTGTCAAATTGACAAAGTCATAGACTTCAATCAGTTGAGCTTCACTGTAGTCTTGACTGGACTGAGAGACCCCTGGAGAGGTGTCAGATTGTGAGGGCAGTAACCTCATTAATACTGAGTTTGTATTTTAATGGGCTTTTCTGACATGGAGTATAGTTTAAGGAAATGGGTCAAGAGAGCATAATTTTGTGGACTATATTAGTCACTGAAACTTTCTTCTTTGGCTCTTTGTAACCTGCTCTGCTTTCCAAATGCCATGAGTGTAGCAGCTTTCCTCTGTGATGCTTTTCCCCCAGGGGGACGGAAATCTCTGAAAGTATGGGCCAAAATGAAGCTCTGTGCATTTGGATTGCAAATGAGAGATATTTTTGGCCCCAAACAGAAAAGCGACAAATGTGATTCTCAAACAATCATACAATTCAGATATCTGTCAAGCTACCTAATATATTGTATGCTCTAAATACATTAAACACTGACAATCAATAAGCTGAACATTTCCAGTAAGTATATGTATATATATATATATATATATATATATACATATATATATTCATCTATATCATATATAATGTATATTTATTTTTATTCTTAACAACCTAGACCGTGCAAGTGTCATAAAGACATCTACAAAAATATGTTTAATATTTGGAAGCCTCTTGATAAGAGTTTTAGTTTTCAAGTTATAAAACTTTTTTCATACTTGAATTCACAAAACAATTATATAATGCAGAAACGAATGCAGAATCATTATATGTATTTTAATATGAGTAAATGGCGAGTGAGAAATAAGTGACATACCCAAATTCACATAAAAGCTAAATAATATTCTTAGACTAGGTCCTCTAATTCAATTTCAGTATTTAGTTGTTCAAAACTGGAATGTTCCCTGAAAGTCCACATGTTAACGGTGATTCCTGAGACTGGGAGGCTGTAGAAACAAGAGTTGGGGCTTGGTGAGTGCTGTGCAGTCATCATGAACACATGCTCTGAGGAATTATGACTCAGGCTGTCTCTCTGTGCTCACGATGCGAGCAGGGTTACTTCACCACAAACTTCATGCAGTCTTGTGCTGCCCCTTCCTCATCAGAGGACTGAAACTATTAAGTCTTTCTCATCTAGACTGCAATCTCTAAAACTGTAGGCAAAATTAAACCGTTTCTTTTCATGAACTGACAATCATACCTTAATTGACTAATACATTTATTTCACCACCCCTCATCTCTGAACTATGGTGGAGAGATTTATGCATTCCAGTTAATACCTCCATGAGATACTCTTAGAAACTGGTTCACATTTATTTACTATCTTACCATATTGAATTTTTGTTAGAAACATGTTTTTCTTACTTTCATGCTATTCTGTTGCTTAAAATGAAACATTCAAGCAGACATGGAAGCCAATCTGAGAAAAAAACTGTCAATTTGCCTGTTTATTAAAGTGTGATATATTTTTGAAAACAATAAAATATATATCTTAAATAAAAATTATCAATCAAATAAGTGTTTCCTAGATGTGAATGTATGGGCTAGTAACTAAAGCAATGATTTCCTTTATTCTTTAGCCTTGATTAGTAACAGTTCTTAAATCAACTCCCACAATTACTATTATACTCATATTGTATTGTGATAATATACTATGTGTTATAATATCTATTAAGTATAATAATATATGTTAACCATACTGATATAAAAATCTCATATTTTTAAACCATTTAGAAATTTTGAATTATTCACATTTTACTTTAAAATAATAAAAGTTAAGTTATGCAAACATTGGAAGTACTACTGAGGACTTTGAATATAAGCATTTTACTATTTAGCCACAAAGAAAGATAAATTTGAGTTATTTTTAGGAAAATGATTGCATTCTGAGAACAAAATGTTAAATGACATTAAACAAATGTACCAGCTGAATACCACATGGCTTTTCTTATATGAGAGTTAGGAAAAGTATATAAAGCAAAATAAATGATAGGTAATAAGAATTAGGAGGATAGATCTTTCTCAGTAGAGAAGGGGATCACCAGGTGAAAGGGAAGGAGCACTGTAAAAGGAATTAAAGTGTGTTATGTACTTGTAATAATTCTCCACAAGACATATAAATACTATATGTACTATATGCATATACAAAGTAGGATAAAAGTAAATATAATTTTGGAATGTCATTAGTAAATATTAACAGAGAGCTGTATGATGATCAGTATTTGACATTTTCATGTGGTAGATTTCAAAGCTTGAAACTACAAAAGGTAGCTCCACGCCAAAATACTGTTTATCTTGGAGTCTTGCAAACTTTGTCCCTGTGAAAAGAGCAAACTTTGCAGCAGCCCTTTGAATTCTATTTCTTTGCTGTAATCTGCAAGTGACAGAGTTCACAGCCACTGCTCGTGGGTAGCCTAGCAGCAAATGGGAAAATAAACGGGTTAAAATAAATTAAGAAAATTTATTTACCTTTAAAACATGTTTTGATGTAATTACTGTTAACTTTATCACTGAGTACTAAGTACCTATATTTTGCAATGTTGTTAAAAAGTAAACACAAAATATTCACTCTAAAAATGTTGCTATAGAGTGAGGGCGAATACTGGCAAGGCCCAGGGCGCGGGGAAGAGGGCTCCCCTCACCAAGCCGGCCTGGCTTGCTGCTCACTCAGCACCAGGGAAGGGCGCCCCTCGACTCTGGAGGCACAGGCGTGTTTTTAACCAGCAAGAAAAAGTCACCGGGGACTGGCATGTCTGGAGCAGAGCGGGGTTTGGGCCCCTCGGCGCTGCCCTGTCCTCAGAGTGACTGTTTCCAGGTTGCTGCTGGAAGACTCTGTCCCGCAGCCCCGCGTGCCCAGGCGGTGCCAGGCGTGCAGGGCACTGGAACCCTGTGCCGAGGCGTGTGGCCAACAGTTCATGGATAATCCAGAGGAAGTCTGCAGTGGAGGCCCCCGGGGATAGTGAACAGTCTGCCAGTAACAGGCATGAGCCGGGAAACTCTAATAATGTGGAGGAATTCTGGGCTGGAGTGAGTGTCCACCATCCTGAGCCCCAGAGTTTGGGGTCATCGCTCCCGCTGCCTGTCAAGGAGCTGCCAGGCCTCCAGCACACACTACCGGCTCCGCAGGTCTCCAGCTGCCTGCCCCAACCTCAGTGACCCTCTCTCAATCCCAGGAACTGGGCTGTCAGAGGCCCAGGATTTTATGAATATTTCTGATCAACTTCATAAGCTACTGATACATTTAATGTTCATTTTTCTAGTATTACAAATAAGTTTATGCAATAAGAAATAATTTATAACATTATCTGATCAGAAATAATAGAAGTATTCCTTTAAAACTCAGTAAGCATTTCTATGTGCATCTGAAAAGAATATGTACAGAAGCAGATTTATTTGCAATTTTGTGAAGTCTTCCTCTGATCTTTAGAGTATTTATTCTTGAATCTTATACTACCCACATGTAGTGATTTAAGAGTACATTTTCCCTGTAAATACATTAATATTTTTCATCAATTAAATAATATTTGAGTAAAAATTGATGCTTTAAAATAGCTTTCATACTTTTTATTTCATTTGCGAAAGTCAGACAAGAAGCATATAACACAGAATTATGATACAGAACTTTTTATATCAATTTAAAATTTATCCATTCCAAAATAACCCAAGATGGACTGCTCATAATAAGTATTGCTCAATTGGTTTTCAAATTATTCAAGTTTTTCAGATGTAAACTGTCATAGTTTTAAAAATTGGTCCATTTTACAATCACAGTATTGGAATGATTTTGATACCTTTCTAGGCAGTGTAAAATTATTCACATATGTGATTGGTTTCATAAATTGTGATTGATAATTTAAAAGATATGAAGAGGACTTTTCATCCTGTGTTATCTACAATTTGGTTTATTCATATAACAAATTTCAGGTCATAGATTTTAAAACATGTGAAGTTTTTACCACTCAGAAAATAGTGTATTTACTTTTGGCTTCCTAATGCTGCTTATAAAACTAGATACAATTAATTGTGTACTCTGCCACATGTAGGTTTCAAGATAGCCATGAACACTGGAGAAGGCAACAGGGTATCCATAAAACATGTAACAGTACAGATTTGGAGGAACACTTGACACAAGTTGTTGGAGGGGGGAGGTATCTGGCCACTTACCTCATCTTAGTTCCAAAGTAGAGGAGAAAAGATAAGTCCTTCTCATTTTAGAAACATCATATTCTAACCATCTCCAGGAATGAAATGTGTGCCAATAGCCTGGAATACGATCAAAATAATTTAAAATATACTTTTGCAAAGTCAGCACCGAGAGAACTTTTACGATAATCAAGCAAGACAAATATCACCTGAAAATTCACAGCTATTGTTTTACTTATGTGACCTTAGTCTTAGCCAGCTTTGGTGCTACAGGTCTATAATTTCAGCTATTGAGAGGGTAAAGAGTCAGGAGGGTCACCATCCCAGGCCACTAAGTAAGATCTTTTCTAAAAATTAAATTTGAAAATTGCTGGAGATATAGTTCAGTGATTCTTGAGATCAATGTCCAATACCACAAAATAAACAAAAAAAAAAACATACAATATTTTAAATCCTTAAAGTTTAGGAAAATGACTCTCCTGAAGTCTGAGGAGAGATTGGAGGAAGCTATGAGAGAAGTAAGTGGTCAAGAATCACAAAGAGAACAGGCCCCACAGGTGACATATCAGAGCTCATGTTCACAAACCTCATCAAGCAGCCATAAAAGTCTACCTGGAGACCTGAGAAAGCACTACTCAGGTTATTAACCAGAAGAAAGCAAGAAAAGGAAAGGTACTAAACTGTGATGACATCATCATGGATCCTTTTCCTCCTTAGGAAAGCCTTAAACTAAAAGCAAAGCAAAAATATTTAAGGAAATAAAATATTGTACACATATCTCCCATTGATATAGACAGAAATAAAAAAATATTGCTTTACAAAATTTAGGATTTATAAGACAGTATCACCGTGATGTGAGTGAAGCAAGGCTATTCCAACAATGAGAAATAAATTATTTACCTATTAAAAGACTAAAGATGATTAATGGCAAATTTCTCATAAATGTGGGACAAAGAGCAAATGATTAAAAAGAATTATAAGTAGGAATTATTTTTTCAAACACCTATTACAATTATGTTTTAATATTAATATTCAAAATGACAGTGAATGAACTAGTGAGGCCAATAAGTAAATGAAAAAAACAAAACAAAATAGGGGAAACATGTCAAACTCCAACCTGTATATGTGAATGTGTGTAGTTATAGTATCAATTGTGTCTCAATAAAATGACCAAATAATTAAGGGAATAATCAGCAAAAAATAAATGAACTAGAATTAAAAAGCAGAAAATTGATTATGTACACCTACTTGACAGTTGTACATGGTACTATTTTAACGTAAAATATATCAATAAATAGAAAATGAGAAAAGATGTCACTCTTTGCAAATGAGATGATTGTCCAAATAAAATATCAATAAAAATCCAAAACATGTTTACAATCCAGTGATAAGCTGAAAGAAACAAAATCAGTATATAAATTATATATGTGTAATATCCATTATCACAGGAAAACCAGTGGAATTCTTACTCATAAATCTAGAAAATGTCTGTGAGAGACTTGTGTTGAAAATAATAAAACTTCCTCTTCCGTAGTCCTCCTGGTGTTTGTTACCCCTGTGTTCTCTGGGCTTCCTCTTGTGACATTCCAGCTTGCTAAACATTTTTCACACTTACAGATAAGAAAATTAAACAGGTTTTCATTGTACTTTCATCCAAGTAGTCCCTGCTGTCCTTCTTATTCTTTAATGATTATGCTGTCGGACTGTGAATCAGCTGTGTATTGAAGTTATAAATGTGACATAAGGCGCTTTTATGAAAGCCATTTTGCATATCTACATCTTCTTCCCTGCATTTTGTTCTGGCTTCTACTCAAAAACCTAATGGGCTGGGAAGGCAATAAGGACCCAAGAAAGATTTGAAAGTTTTATTAAATGACTACTTTTTAAGCCATGAAAGGAAACAATAACTGTCACAAAAGTCTTCAAAATCTGAGGTATGAAAAAGAGTGGGGTTATTGACCACCAAAAAAAAAAAAGTGCAAAACAAGACAAGAAAATCTTGCACAGAAAGAGCCTGAGAACGTTCCACAAATCTCCTGCTGCTCCAGGGGAGCAGGAGAAATGAAGAGCGAGGCTTGGCTATGAAATCCTTAGGAAATCTGAGGATGAAATGAGAAGCAATACACACATAAGGCTGAAGACTGGAGCCCATGGTAGGGCCACACATGAAGCGAAATCATGCTCAAAAGACCAAAACAGAAACAGCAAATGGCATCTTTCAACTGACAACCTACACTCAAAGACGGTTGTTACCCTGCATTCAATAGATGACCTCACTATGTCAGACTCTGCAATGAGTCATTGAAAAGGCTTAATTCATGTTTTATGAAACAAAAGCTGGTCGAAACAGTAGAAGACAGGATTTTCTTGGTGTTGATGATTAGTTTTTTTCTCCAAATGTGATGGGGATTTCTTTGTGAATTAAGCTTAAATATCAAAATTGATAATGCATTTTTTCTGTATATTACTTTTTAGGCTTGTGAAAAGTAATAAGTGTTTTCATAGTTGTACCTTTTTCAAATAATCACAAGAAAGAAATTCCAAATATTTTAAAAGACTTACCAATGTAGAGGGTCCTTGAGTTTAATCCCCATACTGAAAAAAAAAAAAAAAAGTAGAGGGTCATATAAGAGAATGTATGACACTGTGATAGAAAAAACCCATTGAAATTTAAGAGGGAAATATAGAAAATCAGAGTGCCTTCGGGGATTAAATTGTATATTAGTGAATCAAGGGAATTTCTATGAATCAAGTAATTAAACAAAGGCTTTAAATTCTAGTAACTCACAATTCAATGACTCAATGTGGAATCACCCAGAACTTACATTTTTTTAAAAAGATATGTTCGCAATTTCTTTGGGAATCTGAAAGCTGGTCTTTTCAGGCTGATTTAAAAAAAAAAATCAAAGCTGAAAGATGTGTGTCTATTTAATTATTTCATGAGGAACTGTTCCCGGGGCTTAGGAGGGTGTTCCCAATCCATCTTTTTGCCTCTATGTTGGCCGGGTCTTCTTGGGAAGCTCCAGGACATTCTCCATGAGTCCAGCCCCAACGCACTGCACTGCCTGTGCCGTTGGTACATTACAGTGGATCCTACACAGCAGCTGCCCTGGTGGGGAGTCAGGGAAAGCTGAGAGGTCGGGTCCACGTGGAGGTTCCCGACTGGTAGGATGTTTCTACTTCCGGAAACATTCTGTTACTGTAGATTTTCCTCAGGGTAGGAATGGCAGCAATGTTTTCCCCTCAAGCTGTAGAGAGACTCTGAGATACTGTTACTAAATGTTAGTAACAAGATATTGTTACTAACACTGTGGTAGTGTATTGTTATCTTCTCTACACTGAGGACACTCTGGTGCAGTTCACTAGACCAAAACAAAGCCAAACTGAAAAAACAAGAAAACCCTTGTCATCCAGGAAAACACTGAATGTCCAGCTCTGCCAGTGATTAAAATGGTAAGCCTTTTAATTGGTCCCAAGTATAAACATGCTCATTTGGCCAGTCAAATTCCCAGTCAGCATTAATAATGCTAAAGTCATTTGCTCATCTACATTTTTTTAATGGACTTACTCATCTTGGTATTATTTTATTCTCGTCTACATTTTACACCCTAATTTTCTACATATGTGAAGTCAAAAGAAAAGTATTCCAGATTTTGGCTTTTAAAACACCAACAAGCCATCTGTCTATTGTTTCCACTTACAAACAAACATCTCTCTGTGCATGTAGAGTTTCAAGAGGAGTGCAGCTGTTCGGTACTTCAAATGGAGTTTACATCTTAGCCTGATGCTGGTGTAACAAGTGGACTTTAGGATTTGACACACCAACCTACTGTTTTCGTTTTTGGTTTTTTTTTTTTTTTTGTAGTTCTATATTATGTGTACCCTTACACAGCTTTGTTTTGTTTTGTGTTTTTCTCTTTTTCCTCTTAAATAAATTTAAAAAAAAAAAAAGGATTTGACACACGTAGTTAACTTTAGTTCAGGGAACACCAAGATGACAAACTCAAATTTTATTAATTTTGGAGGACCTCATAACAAATGATTAATGTCAGTTTGGCCTGGAATCAGATAATGTTAGCAGGCCCAGTAGGGAAGCAAACAGATTACACAGAGAAAAAATGAAGACCAGGTGGGAAGAAGGCAGCAGCTGATACAGCTGTGCATTTAAGACCCTCTCCACTGAATTACCTTGGCCTTTATTCTGTTTTGCCTCGTTAGGCTAAACAGCATGATTTTTCCCACCAGCACAGCTGCACCTGAGGAGCCTGCGCAGGAGCATCCTGACTGTCTGCCTGCACTCTCGGGCTTACCTGAGGCTCTCTGTTCATGACTACCAGAAACTGAAAATTTTCATTTCTAATTTCATGATAAAACCTGAAAACGGTATCTGTTAACTTCTTCATCTTCTTTAAGTGGAACGCAGGTCCTTGTTCTTTGACACAAAGTATATTAGATAATTACAAAGGAAAAAATACAGGTTTTCCAGGTAAAGAATCAAGATGATTGTGACATATCCGAGAGCATTTTTCTTTCTGCATGTCTCTTCTACTTCATTTCATTTTTACTGCTTCCTTCATATTGTGCAACTTTCTTTTTGCATGCACAGGGATCCTTTGCTGTTGCCCGACAGCACGCAGTGCTGTTGCATTTGGCTTGATATCCATCTTTGTCTATCACTGCAGTCTTGTCTTCTGTCTTCTCCTGTTTCCTAGCTGACCTCTCCGCCTGTCCTGTGGGTTACAGATTCTCAGTGAACAGCTCACACAAGTATAGATGTTCCCTACAAACAAGAGAATAGTAAGAACAGCAAAAGAATATAATGCAATAATTTGAAAATACATTTTAGTAACTAACATACCATTAATATCATCAAATATTGTTAGTTCTGCCCAGTCAAATGGCTACAATCATTTCAAGTAAACCTTGAAGTCACATTTCAACGTTTCCTTGTGTCTCTGCACTATGTTGTCTTTATGTTTACCTCTATTTTTCTCTACTTGCTTCAATTATTTGTTATAAAAATACAGAAAAAGTACATTAATTCTTCATAGTGTTGTAGTTTAATAGGTAGTAAAGAATATGTTCTGGTTTCACTGGTTATCCCCAGAGTACTTCACAATTGGTCTGAAATTTTAGCTAAATTTCGTAAAATTCAGATAATTTCCAACTATTTGATAGATGCTCTGCTGTGCTCACAAAGGACATTGTCTTTGTTTATAGCTTAAATATTTATTTGGTGAAAAACTGTCCTATCTCACAAAGTTATTTATCCTTCAGAAAAGAGAATCCTTTTATCTGTCCTTAGCATGTCTGAACCCATTCAATGACAACTTGGTTTCCATCTATGAGTATTACAACATATCTCTTTTCTAAATAGAATATATGTGTAACTTTACTTCTTGAATGCCATTTTTATGCCTTGACTTCCTTGAATTCTGTATAATTAAGTATATTTTTTCCATATTTTTTAACACCCTTATTGCCTGTACTATGAAAAAAGTACATGATACTTACACTCACAAAAATATGTGTAGCAATTTTGATTATTGATTCAACCTGGTATTCCTGGATGGAGACAAAGTTAGAGAATGTAAGGATAAACATTAAAGAATGAATTATTTTAAACTAATTGCTTTGTCCCTCCTTGGATTTCAAGATGTATTTAGAGGAGTGAAATGAGGATTTCATCTACCAGACATCATCCACACATCTCCCAGAAGGCAATAAGTGGGAAAAAAGGGCACACTAATGCTTTGTCTATGACTTCCATTCTACCATGAGATTAAAATGTCACCACCAACTAAAAAAAGAATGAGGAGAAGCCAGTAGGAGCCAATACTTACAATGATTTGAACCAGGTATGTCAATCCAGCAAAATTCACTAACAGCAAATGTTCCATGGGTCTCTCTTGCTCCCCAAAACCTTGCAGTGGGTCGACTAGAGAAATTTAGCAGCTTATATGGATTACTCAGCACTTCTACATCCTACAGTGTAGAGGACATGCCCTTAGGGCTCTAGGATATTGTGTTAATTTGAAAAGTTTAGAAGTTTAAGGGACTCAGCAGGGGGTCAGGGTCCTCACTTGGGAAAAGTTCTGAGACTGTGCCAGAGAGGGGCAGAGGGTGTGAGTGTTAGACCAGCAGAAGGTGGAGAGCCTGCATACAATGTAAGAGAGGAAAAGAGGTTTGTTCTCCCCTTTTTGCTGTTGTTGCTTTGTTGTCTTCTGCAGCTTGAACTGTTGCCCCCCAGTCAGGCCACCTGCCTTGGAACCAGCTGATTATGGACTGAAACAAACTACACAGTCTAAAAACGGTGAGCTAAATAAACACTTTCTTTCTTTCACGTGGTCATTGGGCATTTTGTCTAAGAAACAAGAGAAAAGTAACTAAAAGTAACACTCCATACCAAAAGCTGTTACCTGATTTCTTTTAGGATAATTGTTGCAGCCCAGGAAGCAGGGTAAATACTTTGGCAGTGCATAACATCTAAACCGAATTTGGATCAGGTCACTATTGTACAGTATTTCTTATTGTTGGTACTATCATTACCAGGTAGTTAAATCTTATGCTGGGATACACATATCTCATTAATATTGAAAATATATTTAATGATTATTCTAATGTTATAAGAGAAAATAAACAGCAGTTATAAAAAAAGAAATAAGGGGAAAAGTTAGTGTTCTTAATATTTCTCAAAATGACTAGAAACAAGGTAAATATGCTCATTGTCCTGTGGACTACACTGAAAGTCATTTTTGAAAGAAAAAGGCCAACTGTCATATACCTGCTATGTTTCTCCAGACATTCTCTCCTCCCTTCTTAGTGATGTCTTCTTTACATTTAATTCATTCTCTCAGCTACTCCAAAAGCTTAGTAAATTTTTATATTGTTATATATTCAGTCCTTTCTCCACCCATATTCTAAAAATCTTTTCTGCCTTTCTTTTATTCACAATTATCTGCTTATATCTCCTTATATGTCTTTATCTTTTTATGTCAGATATCTCACAGCTTATCTGTGTGGTGGCTTATGCTTGAAGAAGATACTGGTCTTAATGTTAAGGCTTTTATATCAGAGACTCTACTCTTGATATCATATTCCTAGTGGAACTAGGAATTATATTAACTAGGAATATTATGTATAACTGTAACTAGGAATATTATGTATCATAATAATTAATATTATTCATTTAAATTCTACACTGGTTTTCAAACACCAGCATACAAATTTCTCTATGAATGTCATATAAAACCTTTAAAATTACTTTCTCTTGTTTTGAGGATAGGAGATAGTTTCATACTTAGAACTATATTACATTCTTATACTCCCATAGATGTTCAGTCATTAGGACAGATTCTATCTTCCTTGACAGTTATAAGCATGATCATATACCTTGCAACTGTAAGGGAAAACAAATACCTAGCACCTTGGGCCAGATCTCAAAAGGAAAGACAAAACAAATGCAGTCACACCCTAAAGATAAACATCAGGGATTGATATTCTGCATGGATACACATCACCTTGAGGAAGCCAGAAGGGGCCACTAATTCAGCTGCTACAAGCAAAGGCCCTCATCCTTAAGTTAATCAATGCTACCTGAGCAATTAGACTGATAATCTTACTGGTTGACCATAATTCTGTCCCACCTCTTGCTCATCTTGTGTGCCCACTTTTCCCAGGTTGGACCTGCCTCATCTTGTGGCTTTCTTGGGCAATCCACGTGGGACCCTTTCTGTGTATCTCTCAGACAGAAATTTTCTTTCTCTGCTCTTAACATCTGTTGATTCAAAAATTCAATCTTAATTTTAGAGAACACAACACATATGAACATCTAGTTTCTTTGCCCTATATCAAATTATGCATTTCAGAGGGATTGCCTCTCCATCCTTCAAGTGAAACACTCTTGTAAAATCGCCAAGGAGTTTTTAAAAATATTTACATCTCATACAGAAATTACAACTACAAATTTTCTAAAGTGTGGAGGAGAGAGAAGACCAGGAAGCAGGAAACTGGCCTATTTAGTGTGTAGCTAAGCCAAAAGAAATATTAAATGGGAATTCTCACTTTATTCTTAATTTCTACACAAATTTCTCTTCACTTTTTACACTTTCTCAGTGAATATGTGATGAGTTCAACATTTTCTCATTGAGCTGCTTTATTTTTATTGTTTCACCCTAGCAATGATCACCACTTAAAATGTGATAATGATACAGGAAAAGTATAACACCAAACCTGCTCGTGTTCAGATGTGCCAAGTTTGAAAATGAATTCCAGAAGACAAAGCAGGTAAAGAATAGGAAAGATTTATTAAGACATAGTCTCTGAAAGACAAGAGGAGTCTCAGAAATGGATTGTCACTGAAGGCTCTGTGAAATACAACTTGTCCAGCATGTGGATACAACATGGTTCAAACTATAATCAATCAGCAAGAATATAAATATAGCCACTTAGCTCTTATTGATCCAATAGGAAGCAGAGTGCCAGGGTATGGGACTGACATCACTAGCCTTGGCTATCTATGACTTCTCAAACAAGAACATTTTGAGAATGGATAAGTCCAGCTGTTCGGGTCACCCACTGGGTGTCCAATACATATCTAGTTTTAATGGACTGGATGATACCAATTACAATGTAATCTTAAGTCCCATTCACCCTTTAGGGATGTATGTAAATCTATACATTGTATTTTAATCTTGAGGCCTTGCCTTCTTCAGATACACCTTCATGTTAGGGACCAAAAATCACAATGGCTAGTGTTGCACACTTCCATAAGAGATTAACAGAGGCTTGAAGTTTTGTGTATCACACTTTTGAGATTTTCCATTATCCCTATAGGGGCAAATCATCCTCTCCCATGTACTAAGATTAAGTTTAAAACTATGAAGAGTAAAGTATCTCCAGGGCAAGATTCTCATTAGTGTAAAACCACAGCTACCTGCTAAATTACTGTCATCCGATCGTCCCCTCCCCCATCAATAAATGCTGAGGTCAAGTTTCCTTGTGGCTGCTGTGTAGCCTTGTGAATCATCCTGGATCCCCTTGTACCACCACTTTGTCTCTCTCTCTCTCTTTTCTTTTATTTTCTTTCTCATTTCTTTCATTTCTATCTTTCTTTTGCTTCTTTCTCTTTTTCTTTTTCTTTCTTTCTTCTGTGCATGGTAGCACCTGACAGGAGATTGGGTCTCACTGTAGGAGTCTCTGATAAGTCCAGTCTGTTTTGATATATTCTCATTTTCACATTGACTTCCTCCTGGGCCTGTTCCTTTCTTACTGCCTATTAATTTTTACCTAATTTAATTACCTATAATATTAAGACTGCTTTGTGCCAGTAACCTATTGTAGAATACAGCATAACTGGTAAAAAAAATCTCAGGAGCACATAATGCTAGGATTATATTACCCCTGCACCTTAAGTTATTTGAGAATTAGAAGTTTTTCAGACTTTCACTTGATTTGAGTGGCAGCCAACCACATTTCACTTTTCTTTCTTATACATTAGTCTACTCTGGGCATGTTTGCACAGAAATCAAAGTAAGAACAAAGCAGTCAAGAAAAACATACAAGGTTTCTGGAGGCTTGCTCTATGAAATAATATGCACTACCTTTCCGAAAACATGTTATATCACACATGGAGGGATACACTGCTTTTATTGCAGGGAAGGCCCAAGATTACCGGAACACTTGGAAGTGGTCGATTCCGATGCCAGTCACGCAGCACACGTGCACTCCCATTGCTTGTTGTTTTCTCACTCAAAGTGTAAGCTGCGTGTAGTCAAACTTACTCTCTTTTGTTTATTTCTTATCCCCCAGTGTCAAACACTCTCATACACACAGAAGGAAACTCAGTGTTTATTTTTTCATGCCTATAACTCATAATCTGAGCAACTACTTCAAAGATAACAATATGCGATATACTAACCATTGCTAATGTCCTATTATGCTAGTCTGAAATTCTGTATCATCATTTTTGTTCTTTTTTTATGTTTTAGTAAATGAATAAATCACATGATTGCATATCATTTTTCCTAGCACTGTTGTAAAATTTAGCTACTTTTGAAAGTTTTGCTACCAAGTCTTCATTAAATTTGTCGCTCATTTAAAATGTATTGATTATCTATTCTGAAAACAAATCTGGAATCAACACGGTGGCTATAATCGTGGGTCATGCAAACACAGTCCTTATCCTCATAGACCTTAAAACTTACATCCAGTGACTGCTTTTAGTGAAGGAAACACAAAAACTTTTTCACTGGAAATATATTGCAATGATTAAGGATAAGGCTCTTATTTACTTATAATGACTTATCTAAATTAAATCTAGGAAACTAGATGTTGGTACCGGACTTGCCAAGCCACAACTATTAACAAAACTATTAACACAACTTATTAACTCCTTTCTTTCTCTCTCTCTCTCTCGTGCTCTCTCTCTCTCTTTCTCTATCTATCTCTTCCTCCTCTCTTTTTTCCACATACACTAAATACATTAAATTTCATTTCATAAAAAGTTTTATTCATTCAATAAATGAGTAGAGCAACGTTATGTGTGAATTTCCTTATTTTTTTCTAATGACAGAATAATAAATCTGAGTTTGCTTAAGACTTCAACAATGCTACTCACAAGAATGATGTCTTGAACAGAGATTTGGACTAGACACAGAGAAAAGGCAGCAAGAATGTAGACTTGTTGAAAACAGAAAGCAGAAAACAAAATTCAATTTATAAGAGTACACTGGTGAAGAAGGCTCACAGTGGCCCAAAGGATAAAGAGAAAGGCTCAATTATTATCAAAATGCCTTGGAAAACTCCTATCCCATGTAAATAAGAAATTGGGACAATTGCCCTATAAAAATTCTCTAGACCTCATTCACCCAAAGTTGTTATACAGATTTAATCCAATGCCAATCATAATACCACTTGCATACCTTACAGATCTAGAGAAATCATCCCTAAAATTTATCTGGAACCTGAAGAGATCTAGAATAGCAAAGGCAGTTCTGAGTAACAAAGGTAAGGCAGAATTCATCACAATCTCCCACTTGAATATATATTATAAAGCTACTGTGATAAAATCAGCATTGTACTTGAATAAAAACAGACCTGGAGATCAATGAAATAGATTCAAAGATATAGCCACAACTAGCAAAACATTCAACCACCTCATCTTTGACAAAGGGGCCAAACATGTACACTGAAAGACAGACAGTCTCTTTAATATGTGGTGCTAGAAAAACTGATTCTCTGTATGCCAAAAACTAAAACCAGATCCATGTCTATCACCATGCACTAAACGAAAGTCAAAAGAAATCAAAGATCTAAATATTGGAACAGAAACACTAAATCATTTTGAAGACACAGTGGGTAGAAATCTGTATGACATAGGAGTAGGCAAAGAGTTCATGAACAAAAATCAAACTGCATGAGAAGTACTTGCAGGAATCAACAACTGAGATTTCACCTAATTAAAAAGTTTTTGCATGTCAAAGAAAATCTCCAACAGAATGAAAGGAAAACCCTACAAATTGGGAAAATATCTTAGCCAACTGCACCTCAGACAAAGGAATACTATCTAGAATATATAAAGAATTTAAAAAATCAGGCCCCCCACATTCAAAGACCCCAACCCAAAAATGAGTATTTGAGATGACTATACACATCTCAGCTGAAAAAATACAAATGGCAAGTAAATACATGAAAAAAAGTTCAACATCAATGTCATTCAGGAAATGCAAATGAGAACAACACTGAGATTCCATCTCACCCCAGAAAGAATGGCCAAGATCAAGAAACCAACCAATTACAAATGCGGGAGGCACTGTGAGGAAAAAGGAACCCTTCTCCACTGTTGGTGGGAGTGTAAGCTGGTTCAATCATTGTGGAAATCAGTGGAGAGACTCCTTATGAAGCTAGAATTGGAGATTTCACTTGAGCCAGCTATCCTGCTTCTGGGCATTTTCCCAGAAGAACTGAAAACATCATACCACAGTGATATATGTCCACCTATGTTTTTAGCAGCACAATTTGTAATATCCAAATCTTGGAAACAACCTAAGTGGCCATCAATCAAGGAATGAATAAAAAAGACATGTATTTTTATACAATGGAATACTCTTTAGCTATAAAAAAATCACATTGAGACTTTTATAAGTAAGACAATGTAATGAGACCTTACTAATAAATAAAATACATCAAACTCACATGTGTAAATATTGTCTCTCTGGTGTAAGAAACTGAAAATGTATATATGATCCAAAACTGTGTAAGGTCAGGAACTAACTGCTCAAAGAGGAAAAGTAACTAGGATAGGGGAAAGGAGGAAAAAAATAAAGTAAAATGAAAAACAAAACAGAAATTCATTCATATATGCATGTATATATATATATATGTATATATGCATATATGTGTGTATGCATATATACATATATATATATACATAACATAACTAAAATGAATATACTATTAATAGTATTGGTTATTGGAAAAGAACAGTTAATACTTATACGATTAGATCATTTTTACATGTCTATAACTGTTAATCTAAGCCACCCTTTGAAGGTAACAATATGCAATATTACAACCTTTGTCAAATTCTTATCATCCTGTTTTGGAAACCTATACTGTTATTGTATTGAGTTTGTTATTGTTTGCCTTTTTGCTTTTTTTCTTTTCTGTGACTTTTTTCCCTCAAAAAAACTCTCTTGGCCTCTCACCACATGCAAATTGTCCTATCAAAAAGTTATCTTGCCCTTTTTCCAAATATAAATGAATGAGCAAGAACAACATCATTTGATTAGTATGACCATTTGTAAATGAAGATTTGAGATGATCACTTGCTAATTGCTCCCCTGAACAGTGCTCCAGATGCATTAAGCTTAGAGGCATTTTATTTTGTTTTATTTTTGGTACCAGGAACCGATCAGGACCTTGCATTTGGCAGGCAGACCCTGTATAGATGAGATGTATCCCTGGCCTCCTGGAGTCATTTTGGGTGCAGTGTTTTGCACACATCTTCTTTTTAAAAGAAACATCACATTTCCTAATGATAACTGCACTTTTCCATGAGATGTGGCACACACCACAGAGTTGGTTGTCCAGTTTAATGCAACCTTAATCTCCTGCCGCAATTTGAATCTAAAATGCCTCTTAAAGATTAAGTTTTTTCAAAGTTTAATCCCTAATTAGGAGTGTTCAAAGCCAATGTATATATGGATCATAAACGCTCCAATTTCATCAAGTAGATTAATCCATTGAGGAGTTAATTAGCTGAGTGATCTTATTAGGAATTATAGTAATTAATAATTAGTTAAAGCAGTGACTGGGGTCACTGGCTTTGAAGGGTATATTTGGTCTCTACCTCATTCCTGTCTGGATCTTGCTGTCTCTTCTTTCTGGCTGTCATAAGAGAAGCAGGTTTCCTCTACCATGACCCTGCCACGATATTCCTGCAAATGTCCTAATGCAATGGAACCATCTGACTGAAACCTCTGCCATGAGACAAAAATGTCTTTCCATTTCAACTAATTTTTTTTAGTATTTGGGCAAGGCAACAAAATCTGACACAACCCACCTTCAGAAAACACAGATAATCACTGAACCTGTGATATAATGATTTGAATAAGAATTAAGAAATCTAAAGGAAGTAATATATGCATAATATTTTTATAGTTTCTCAATGACTAATAAAAAAAAACACTAGCAATAAAAATTTTCTGATGGTCCTGTATTATAAGTTTGTCTATCATTTTTACTTAAGGCAAATCAAAAAACCTGAAACACCTTTGCAGTCAACAAACTACTGACCAAATGAAATTTAAAGCATAAAAAAAAGAGAGAGAGAGAGAGAGACAGAGAAAGTGTCTCTTCCTGTTACCTGCCAAAGAAATGGATATGACAATTCCAGGTCCTATGTACCATCTCCAAGATAACCACCCTAAAATGTTAGGTAGGCCCCAAGGGTCCCGTTCCAGGGATCAGTCCTGGGACTCCACCAGGTTCGGATCCCTAGCGCCGCAGCTCTGTGACCAAGACACTGTGGGCCTCCAGGCCCGCTGCAATCCTCGCCCCAGGCACTGCGGCAGGCAGGTTCTCCCCATGCCCCAAGGACTCTCCAAGCCCAGCTGGCTTTCTTCCACTGCCCAGAGAGGCCGGCCGCCCTAGCAGCTCCCAGGTTCCAGGACCCGGAGAGTGATGCTCTTCCAGTTCCAACAACCCAAGTTTCTCCCCACGGACCCGGCAGCCTGCTCCAAGTTTGCTGCACCGGTGAGCGCGCACCCCGCCCTGGGGGTGTGGCTGGCGGGCGGGGGCGGGAGGGGGAAGGACACTGGCTGGGGGGGGGAGGACACGGGAGCCTGGCGGGGAGGAGGAAGGACGCGGGAGCCTGAGGGGGGGGGAGCGGGAGCGCGCGGCCTCGGCGCTGCCTTTCTCTCCATGCAACGCTGCCGCCCGCGGAGAGCACCGAGGTTCCCGGAGCTTTGGAGGGAGTCGTGGGCGGGCGCGGGCGGAGGCTGGGGGACCACACGGTGAGCCCCTGCCCGCGCCCTCCGCGTGCCCTGGGTTCCGCGGGATGTTCCCACACCCCGCACGTTCAGCCTCGGACCCGGGGTCCCCTCCCCCTCGCCTCCCTCCGCCCCCCACCCCCGGCTGCGAGGCGCGCCGCCGCCGCCCTTTCCCGAGCCCACAGACACCCCCAGCTGCACCCCGGGCCATTCCCTGCGCGCCCCCACCCTGCAACGCCCTCAGGAGCAAAACACGGAGGTGGACAGGTGAGGGGGGCGCATGAGCCGGGGCCAGGCGGAAGGGTGAGGGAGAGGGGACTGACTTTGCCACGAGAAATAAAGGCCGGCTCCCCGCTGCCGGGAGCCCCGCGAGCGCGGTGACGTCAGCGCTGCGCTGCGGCCACTGGGCGGGGGACCGGGACAAGCTCAAGGAAGGGCACAGGCGCTCGTGCAGCGCAGCTCAGCGGGCGCTGCTCTCCGGCTCGGCTGGCTCCGCGCGGCTCAGCTCCCGGCTCCCCTCTCAGTATGATGCTTTTTCATCAGCGTTATCCTGGTATGGGGAACCCTAAAACATGTCGCAGAAAACCCATTACACTTCTGGCCTTTAGAGAAGAAATTTAAAACATATGTTTAGCAATCTCAATGATGAAGGTCACTCAACCTAAGTTTGCCATGCTAAAAAATGTCTGGAAGGTAGGGACCACCACTTTAAATACCTCTTTTAATTTTAGAGGTAAAGGGTAACTTGTATTAATCTCATTGTGTCTCAATAATTTTACATTAAAATATTTATACAAGTTTTTTGTCTTTGTGTATGTATCTTTTTATTTTTTGGCAGGCTCTGTATTTACTAGTTACTTGGAAAATATATAAAAGAATAGAAAGTAGTAGGCCAGAAAAATTAAATTCTATGAGCATTTTTCCCATGAATAAAACCAAATGTGAATAATGTGCTAAAGGAAGTCAAAACATTGAGAAAAATAATTTTTAGTCACTGCAAAGTTTACTTATCTCCTTAAGGGTCACATAAGGAACTAAAACTCAGAGGTGTTTCATTCTTTTCTAACAAAAACAGATGAACATCCTCCAAAAACAAATGGGCATCCTTCCAAGAATTCCTATTTGGAACATGAGTTTCTAAGATGTTTAAAAGTGATTGTGGTATGAGTTCCTAAAAAGTATGGTGGAATAAACAGTGACAAGTCTTTTTTATTTTTGTTTATTTATTTGCTGGTACTAAAAATTGAACTCAGCACCTTGCACTTGCCAGGCTGCACTGCTGAGCCACTGAGCTGTATTGCTGGCCCTTCAACTGTGCTTTAAAAGTATATCACTATATTTGAAAATCAGTTTCACATTGGTGCTTCTATTTGAGAAAATTTTTGAATATATCAAATTGTGACACCAAAAATATAACCAACAGTGAAACTATAATGATATTTGTACTCAAAAACTTTAGAAAAAATATTTTTAAATTATAGTATTTTCTACTAAAACTTTTTACTTTGTGATGTAGGTTGGTATAATATATTTTTAATAAGAGAAATGATTCCAAATGTTATTATCTATGGCATCGGTCACTAGATACTCATTAATGGAATAATCAATAAGAAGAGATAATAGTTGTAAATGTATCCATACCATATAGTGACACAGACCGCTTCATAAAACAAATACTACTGGACATAAGAGATTCAATAATTATCAACAAAAATATTGAGAGAGATTCAATACAACAATATCATAAATACACATATCAACCAGCTAGACAAATCAACATACAAATATCAGTTGATGCATGTTTCTGAACAAATTGTTTTAAGGTATAACTACAGAGTGTTCTACCCAACAGAAACAGAATACATGCTTTCCTAGGCAGCACACAAAACTGTCTTAGAAACAGGGTGTCTACTAACCCACAAACATGCTTAAGTAAATATAGAAACAGTCAAAATTATCCCTTGTGTATTTTTGAATCCTAGTACAAGGAAATTAAAAATCAAAGGAAAAAAAGAACCAAACAAACTATGTAAATGCATGGAAATGAAATGAAACTTTTTTTTTGTCTTTTTCATTTTTATGGGTACCAGGGTACTTTTTTTTTTGTCTTTTTCATTTTTATGGGTACTCTTACGACCGCCTGCTTGCAAGGCAGGTGCTTATGCCGCTGAGCTAAATCCCCAGCCCCCTAAATGAAACATTTTTGAATAATTGATGGGTCACATGAGAAATTGAAGAAATTAGGTAGCTTCTGGAATCAAACAATATTACCAATAAAACGTAACAAAGTTACGGGAGACAAGAAAACAGTCCTAAAAAGGAAGTGAATGCTCATATTAAAAAAACAGAATAAACCCAAATAATTAGTCTAATGCTGTACCTCAAAGTCCTAGGAAAAGAAAAACAATACAACTAGAAATGTAGTGCAAAGAATGAAATAATAAATAGCAAAGCAGAAATTCATGGAATTCAAATTAAAATATAAGAAATGGATCACTGAATCAAAAAATTGATTCTTCAAAAGAATAAACGCGACAGACAGGCACTTAGCCAGGAAAAAGGAAAGGAAAAATGTGCATCAATTCAATTAGAAATGAAAAAAGGAAAATCACAATAGACAACACAAAATATAAAAAATTATTAGCAACTACTTCAAAATTCTGAACCCCAACAAACGGGAGAATCCAGACAACAGAATGGATCCCTAGATATATATTAATTATTAAAACTAGGTCAAAAAGATTTTAAAAGTTAAACAATAGAGTAACAAACAATAAAACTGAGGCAGTAGTAAAAAAAAAAAAAAAAAAAAAAAAAAAAAAAACCTACCAAGTAAGATTTTACAAGGAATCAAAAAACTCACCATTAAATTTTACAATAACTCCATGGAAGATTGAAAGTCAATATTCTGCTATTTAATAACTTATGCCAGAAGGAGTACTGTCAGACTTATTCCTGAAAGCCAACATAATCTTTTATTTTTTTAAACCAGAAAAGACCCAACAAAAAAGAAAGCTATAAGTCAATCTCTCCAATGAATATAAAGATCCTTAATGAGATGCCAGCAAACAGAATGCAACAATTAAAAAGATCGTACATTAGGATTAAGTAGACTTCATCCCCGGGATGCTAAAATACTTCAGCACACACAAATCACTAAATGCAATGCATCACATAAATAGAAGCAAGGAAAACAATCACATGATCATCTCAATAGACCCAGAAAATGAATTTAAAAATGCATCATCTGCTCTAATAAAAACCTTGAAGCAAATATGTTATAGAAAGACATTTTCTAAATTTGATAAAAGCCATCAAAAACATACTGCTGAGATCACATTAGGAGGAAGAAAAATTTGAAAGGTTTTATTCTAAAATCAGGAACAAGACAATGATGTCCACTAACACTACTCATGTTCAATGTAGTAATCAAACTTGCAACCTGAAAAATGAGGCAAGTGGACAAAATAAAAGAGATACATATAGGAAAAGAAAAGGAACAAATAAATAAACAAGAGGTTAAAAATATTCACACACGTAAGTAGCACTCTTGTACACCAATAACAAACCCAATGAGAAAGAAATTAGGAAACAAGACCATTCATGCTAAATTAGAAATAACTGAATACTTAGCAGCTAATCCTAAGAAGGCATTAAAAGATTTTGGGGAGTCTTCCAGAGACAACATTGTCAAAATCTCCACATTTACAAAGCAGATGTGTAGGCTTAAAATAATTCCACTCCAAATGCCAAGAGCTTTCCTCACAGACCTAAATAAATAATCCTAAAATTCATGGATGACTAGAAGAGACCCAGGATAGGAAAAGCAATTCTGAGTTACAAAAAAGCAAAGTGTACCACAATTCTGATTTCAAGTTACATTACAAAGAAACATTGACACACAAAAACAACATGGAACTGGCATAAAAAACCCAGAAACAACAACAATAACAACAAAGCTGTAGATCAATATAACCAAATAGAAGTTACAAAAACAACCCAAGGAACATTCAGAAGCCTGATCTTTGACAAAAGGAGTCAAGAACATATGCTGGAGAAAAGATAGCCTCTTCATCAAATGGTATTGTAAAGAATGGCTGTAAACCTGAAGAAGGAATCTAGGCCATAGCATTTTCTGTGAACTAAATGACAATCCAGAAGTAGAAATCAAAATACTAAAATTTCATCTTATACCAAAAGAATATCTATCAACAAGAAATCCAATAGTAAATGTTGTTAAGGCTGTGTGTGGAAAGGAACACTTCTTTGTTGGTGGTGGCAATATACAGCTAGTATGTCCACTATGGAAATCAGTATGGAGAGTTCTATAAAACTTAAAATAGAAATTCTGTTTGATCCAGTTCTTCTAGAGCCTTTGTCTTTCCCCAAAGAATTAAAGACATGGCATTGGAATGATCTAGGCCTACCCGTGTTCACAGTAGCAAAACCCCTAATGGTTAAACCTAGAAGCAGCCTATATGTTCATCAACAGAAAGCAGAGAATATGTTTGAATTTAACTTAACTTTAACTGATAAAACTGCTATTTCTGCCAATGGCAGACTTACCAGCAACAAAGGCCTCATGTCGTCCCTTCAAAAACCAGTAATGTCACTTGATGATGTTAGTTGTATTGGGCCCTTTCCATACTAAAATGGACGGCATGTCAGACTGAAGTGACCATAATTAAGTGAAGTTCAATTTTGTTCCCACTTCTTTCTGGCAGTACCACAGTTCCTTCCAGCTTTGAGCACCTGAAGTTTAATTAGTCCTCTGGTGTGAGATCCTAGATATCATCACTATGGATCAAGGCTATTCTTTTATAAAATTGAGAAATGCTACAGCATGTGTGTTTATAGGTTCTACTTTTCCTATGGCATGCCACAACTCAAGAAGTTGACATTCATATAGGACAGTAGAAGACCCTCAAAGATATTGTTGTGAACTCAGCTTAGAGTTAGTTCCTTGAGAGCAGCAGTTACCATGTTCAATGGCAATTGCATAGTGCTGTGTCTCCCTCTCAAGTAAAAAACAAACGTCTGAAAACGGGGGATTACTGTGGTTCGTATAAGTTTATTCTCACCCTGATGGCATTGAAGGAGTTATAGTTTCCAGTTTTCCATTCTATGCTCAACAAATTAAAAGTCTTTGTTCTCTGATGAACACCTCTTCTACTAGTCTAGAGAGAAAGTATTACATTTTGAGCTATGACTTACATTCAACTTATGACACATGGTATGGAAAGCTAAGTAATTTGTTTTCAGTCAAAGTTATTATCAAATTTTCTTCATGAAATCACTTAGGACCAGTGCTGTGCCTGAATCATGGCTTAATTCCTGCCTAAGCTCTTATGATTTCTTTCTCTGAGGTGCAATTTGGGACCCCATAGCCAGTGATACCCCTGCACATCAATCTCGGTAACAGGTTCTGAAGCTTCAACTCCACAGTAGATCCTACTTTGACAATAAAAACCTAAAGAACTATTTCTAAAGTAGCATTTGAATTTGAACATGATATTATTTTTTATGGTTAATTTTATTTCTCCTCATTCGATGTTTGTGTGAGTGCTAAATTTTGAGAAGTATCATTGAACTAGCATTTCATCTTATTCTGTTAATGTTCTCTGTTGTAACATTAATCTTTCTCATTTTAGAAGAGGCTAATCTGTACACCAGACACTGTT